CCCCCCCCCCCCCCCCAAGTTTTTTAGAGAGTAATTGCCATATTTTTAGAACATACTTTTTTGGGTGACAGTTTTTATTAAAATAAAGTATAAACTACTGGACCAATTGTTTATGGTTTGCCAGGAATCAAATTTTTGATGCAACAGCCTGTATGTGTTTTTACCAACTACTGGTAAAGCATATATTGTTTTTTACTGATAAATGCACCATTTATTCCCCCATTGTAGAATACAAAATTTAAAAAAAAAAAAGATTGTTTGCCAAATAAGCAGAATGGGTTTGTAGCAGGGGCCAACAACCTTTTTAGGCTGCAGGCTGGAACAACCTGACTCTAGTCTGGTACAAGCCACCGCATTTGGTGTCATGTCAGCAGGGAAGGGTTTGCTTGCATCCGTGCTGGGGCCAGACAGCTAGGAATTGTTCCCATACCACTGCCCTCTTTCCTAGCTGGCCCCCCTACAAGTGCCTTGGCTGCGGTGTGAGCTCAGCTTTTTAACTGAAGGGGAGCTGTGCTGAGTCCAGGAGGTTGGGAACTGCCCATGTTGCTGCCGCTGCTTCTCCACCTGACCACCCTCACCCTTCCAGGTGTAGCATGGTTACAACTGGAGGCATTCCAGTTCTGGCTCAGCTTCCCACTGGCTGGGAGAAGTCTGTACTGCAGCTGGGGAGTAGGGAGTGGGGAGAAGTAGTAACGGTGTAATCGCAGCTTCCAGCTGCCCACCCCAGCACAGGTCCTCCTTGCTGCCCTGCCCCTACATTGGCACAAGCAAAGCCTTCTGGCTCCTTTGGCCAGATCCTGTGGCTCCATAGGCTGCACATTGTCATCCCATGGTCTAGAGCAGGGGTGTCAAAGATGCAGCCCACAAGCCAAATCTAGCCCATGGATCCACATCATCCGGCCCCCAGTGCTGGTCCTGGGTCTTAAGTTGACCTACACATCACACACAATACGTGCCAGGCCAGCCCTGTATGCAGAGCCTGGGACATGTGCCACATAGGACACCCACTCTTAAGACCCATGTTACACGCAGTACCCATATGGGCCAGTCCAGGACTACCCCCTCCATGCTGGATTCAATGCCTGCAGCACCTGCTCTGGCCAGTTTAGTACTGCAGTGTACATGGACCCACTCCAGCTAGACAGTTGCTGCATGGGTTCTGGAGCAGGTGCTGAGTGTGGCTCATAGGGGGTGGCGGGGTCTGTGCATTCCACCATTTGCTGGATCCAGCACCTGCCTTGGCTGATCTGGGACCTGTGCCTGACTGGGGTGGCTACCATGTGCAGCTCGCGTCCTGGACTGGTTGGAGTGGGTGCTGGATCTGGCATGCATGCGGTGAGAGAGGGTTGCCATCAGCCCAGTCCATCCCATGGGGTCAGCCCTGTACCATTTATCCTGTCTGTGAACTGATCCTGCGCCACTCATTTGTGAGCCTGATGAATTTGATATCCTTGGTCTATAGAATATTAAAAAAAAACCTTAGTTAAAAATAAATGCTTCCTAAATATTTTGTTGTTTGTTTCATCTATGACTTCTAGAAAATATGAGTTCTTTTAATGTAAAACTTAATTAAGAAAAGGTGGTTAAATATGGGTGAATGAATTAAAATTTAAGGTTGAGATAGTTATGGATTGGTTAAGACCATATTTTGAAGAACTGTCTAGTGATATGTTGTGTACATTTAATGCTTTTCATTTCTGCAGGTGGCATTGCTTGGCTTAGATGTTTTAGGTGCCTTTGTCGACAGACTATCAGGACGCTTTAAATCCTATATAGGAACTGGTGAGTGAAGTAAAATTTAATGCCTCTTCTGAGAAAAATGTGGGTAGTCTTATTTTTTAGCAGTTTTTATTATTGCAGCCATGTTTGATAAAAAGTGAACATTTTTCTGAACCATAGCTCTAATCAAGTACATATACAGCTGTTATCATACACTTGTATCAGCAAACTCAAGTTCACCATGTCTCATTGGGGTTTGACTTAGTTTCACATTTATTCATAAATTTAATTGTGTTCTGTACATTGTTGTTTTAAGATACCTACTGTAACTTTTTGCATATCCTTCTCAATCAAAATAAGGCTTGTACCTTGTTTTTAGAAGGCAGAATATAGGAAAAGATTTTTTTCAGAGTCAGTTCAGCCAAAAGCAACTGTCAGTAGAGCAGTGGCTGCCAGAGGATTAACCCTGAACTCTTCTCCCCACTCCTTCTTTCTGCTTGCTGGCCCTGAGAAATGCAGCAGCCGTTATAGCACA